TTTTTTTTTTTTTTTTTTTTAATAAATTCCTGAAAATTTTCCTTGGAATGTGTATTTCAGAAATCGTTTGTCTTTTAAAGAAATCGGGCAGCAGTTCTAAATTGTTGTGTTGATTTTTCTCTTCCATTTTACATATTCGTTACCAAAATACCTAAACATATAAAATATGGATATTTTTGCTGCCCTTCCAGATGAAGTCCGTGATCTGGAACAGCTCTTAGTTTATTGCCTGATTCTCAAACTGTACTGTTGACAACTTTTCCAGTTGCTTTGACCGGTATTGCTTCGCCCGATGGTCAGTCTTCTGGCGATCCTGACATTCCTTTCATAAGCACACCCAAAAAGGGGGGGGGGGGCGAAGGGTCTTTGCAAAAGCCCGAGTCTAAAGCTAAAAATAAAGTAAGCTAAAGCCTAAAGTAACTCGAAACAGCAGTGTTACAACTCTATTGCTAGTTTTTGCATAGCTCCCAGATGAGCGAGGGCTCTCCTCTTTACTCCCTTTCGCACCCTCTTCCCCCTCACTTCCTCAGGAGTCCCGTTTGCCTTTCTCCAAGAGTCTGCGCTGGATGTGCTTACGATTTCTTCCGTCTGCATTTGATGTACGGGAATTCAAGTACGCTCTTCGCAATATTGAACTGATCACACGCCATGTGCAACGAATGTCAGCAAAATCAGCGAACAAATATTTGGCGACGAAATTGATAGTGTTACTTTTGAAATAGAATAAAATAGAAAGCCAATAAAAGCCCAAACCAAAACTGTAATTCCTAGCTGCTTGTACGGGGAGATCGAAATAGGCAAACGGTATTTTGCGGCCGTTAGTGGGCCCAAATACAGGCCATAAAAACCAAATTTTTGAAAAAATGAATTCCGTAAGTTTTAAGGCTGGAAGGACGAAATTAGGTAGTGAAATATGATGGGGAAGTCGACCGTACCTGGTGCTTTCAGGGCATAATGGTTATCAAGGATTTGGAATATGACACGGTGATGGAGATGCTCAATTTCATTTATTGCGGACGATGTTTGAGGGATGTTAATGAATTTGCGTTTGCCTCCGATCTGTTAATTGCAGCTGACAAATATCGCCTGGAAGAACTGAAAAGCCATTGTGAAAAAGCTCTGATTCAAGTAATCCTTTTTTTTTTCATTCAATTTTGGGGATATTCCAAGGGATATTCACCGTTGGATCTTTAAAATACTTTACCAGTGAGTAGTTGTTGTTGGCATTTGCTACCACTCGGGCTACTTCCTCCGCCTCTTACTGAGAGCATATAGAGAATGAGGAGGATAGGAAGCGAGGAGGGGTGAATTTTTGACTTGGAACACTTGAGCCATGTTCTGCTTCATTGAAATTTATTTCACCAGCCATAACAGGCGAATCCAGGACGATCTCCAGGGGAGACGATTTGGGTGATCTTTCTTCCCCCTCGCTCCTCCTCATCCCCCATTCGCCATTACGTCGGAAGTCCCACTCTTTCCTGCCCTCCCCCGTTCATTGGTCCCCTGTGGCAACGACTCGTGGGGAAGGGACGGGGGAGAAAGGAACAAGGAAGTGAGGATCCTGAGGGAGGGGACGATCAATGATGTCCAGACATAGTTTTCTTCATTTTTGGCATTACAACCTGAGCCCCTGGGGGATGGGAAGGGGCGAAGAAAGGCGAAAGACCCTTTGCCCCCTGGATCCGCCAATGTGAACTATGCATTTGGCAAATTTTCCAGTTGTTAACTGACAGTGGTCCACGCACCGTCTGGTCATTGATCACTATTTATGTGATATTCTGCTGGGTACGTATGTATGTGTTTTTTATTTTGTAGGCGCTAACATTTGAGAATGTCTGTGATCTGCTCATTATCTCGGATATCTACAGTGCGCCACGTCTGAGACATCGAGCCGTCGAATTTATCATTCAGCATCCACGTAATATCACATCAACGCCGGGCTGGGAGAATGTTGTCAAGGAGCATCACGATCTCGTCACCGATATCGTTCGTCACTTTGACAAATCCTCATCATCAACAAACGATCGTAACAGTAATCCGTAGCAAAAAGAAAAGAAATCGAAATACGAGTGAAGAAAAAGATAAAAGAAAAAAGAGTTATAAGCATTTCTGTCTGCTATCTAAAATATTTCTCGTTTTTCCTGGTATTTTCCCCAAAGTCCTTTTCATAGGCGGATCCGGGACGAACTCCTGGAAAGAGGGACGGGGTGTGAGAGTCCCCTCTCACCCTCGAGCCATGCAAAAACTTGGAGGTTTTAGCTTTTGTCCCGGGCTCCCGCAGCATTGGTGCCTGTCCTGAAAGACCCCTCGCCCCCTCCCCCCTGAATCCGCCTATGGTCTTTATGCTTTCCTGTCCGGTAATTTCGGTATTTTTTTTCTGTCATTTTGTAATTTCTGATGTACAAGCAGTAGTTGTTTGTTCCTTTCTCCCGGAAAAAATGTTGTTCGGTGTTGAGAGAGAGATTTCCCAAGTTCCTTCATCTTTTTTTTTGGCTGATATAAATTAATTAAGTTCGCATGAAAATAAAAATTCCCATTGACCCGTAAGCATTCCCTGTCTTTCGGTTTTAAGTTTTTACGATTGCGCGTCCCTGTGTGTACAGGAAGGGCTGGACTATCTGAGTCCGCTGCCCAGTGACTTTCCCGCGTGATTTTTTACCTGTATTTTTTATCACATTTCTCATATTTATTTCCTGTGATGTTCGAATTCTGTTCAGTTTCACTGTTCAACGGTTTTTTTTTTCGTGAGTGAGGCTGCGAACTCATTCTCATTCATCACTGGCTTTGAGTTTATTTTGATACCACCCTCAATCAGTCCTGTTTTCGTCTTCCAACCTGAGGACCGGTGCCCATTTTCGTTAGATTAGCGAGGAATGTAGGAAAGTAGGGAGCTTCCTATCATAACTGAGTCCAGTATGAATGTATCTCGGTAATATCGGCGCATCTCGGTATTGTCCGTTTTCTCCTGGTGGTGATTTTTCCCAAAAATTTATTCGGTAAATTTTAACTGTGATGTTAAATTTGGCGGATATTTGGTATTTAAAGAAAATGTGAGGCCCCAAGATATCGTCTCTGGATTCTTGGACGATTTGTCTGAATTTGGGCTTCTTTTACTGCTTTTGAGCCTTGTGTTTTTATCAGTCGTCGGTGTAGCGAAACAGCCCTAAACCTCTTTGCTTTTATTTCTGACTGTTTTTATTGATTTTGCTGAAGCAAGGAAACGCATTTATGTCGTTAAAAAGAGTGCTTCAGTACCAGTCCTATTATTCCCGGTTTGGCGATTTATGGAACAGTGTGGCCCGCCTGAATCTGGTTTATGTCAAGGTTTGCCTGTAGCTGGTCACTAGATTCGTACAGATGAAAAGGGAAATTGCGAAAAATTGGGTCTGAAAACTTGGATCTTAGCAGGAAACGGCGAAAAAATCTAGACGTTCAGTCAGAAAGGCACAAAATTCACTTAAAAGCCGTAAAATTTAGCGAAAATTGCACAAAAATCAGTTTGGAAATGCCAGAATTGATTTCTAAAAAGGCTTAGTTAATTCCCAAAAACAAAGTAACCCTCGTCCGAGTGAGGAGCAGTGGATTTGCTTTTTGGCGCAAGGTACCACAGAGAAGATAGGGAAGGGAAGACCGATGTTTTGTCAGAAGCTAAGTATAATACCATTTGCTGTACAGGGAATAGTACTACTGTGTTGGGATACTTGATGGACCACTGCTTGTCATTGAAAAAGATCTGATACTAAGTCTTCCAAGGCTGTTACGAAGAGTGGTAATTTTACGGATTTTTAATAGAATCCCAAAAACTGTCGATCCTGTCAAATTTCGAGCGTATGAGCTAGAAATTTTTGATTTTTTTTT